TTAAAATAAAATATTTATTATTTTTATCTTTTCTGATTTTTTTGTGTTTTTATATTATATGAAAATATTAAATTAAAGCATTTAAAAAAATATTAATCAAAACAAAGAAAAGAGAAGAATATATAAAAAAAGTTAAAAAGAAAGCAAACTAGAGGGGTGCAGCCCAAGTAATTCTGGCCCATTAGCATGGTTCGTTTGACTTTTCTAGGCAAGGTGCTGGAGCGTTGACCAGGACTACCATGTGCCTTGGATCTGGACCTTTGATTTGATCACCCTGACTTTGTGAATGGTTTGATTTTGAGAGTGTATCGTGTGCTTCAGCATGGAACCTGTATGGGAAGATCAATTGAAAAAATATATTGAGAATACTGAAGACCTGGGGCTCGAACCCAGGTCTTGGACGTTAACACACACATGCCTTGCCAGTTGTTCTAGACGCGCTTTCTGTAATTTAAACAACAAACAAATAATATAAAATAAACAATGGTCAGTGGGCTCTAGCGCGCGAATTTTTGAATCATCCTATCACCATTCGCCACGGTATCATCTTCTTCATGTATTATTTTCCTGAAAAAACAAATAAAACATGGCAACGGTTTTTTCATGCGTTCTCTTAGGCCAGTTTTGGAAAAATAGCGATTAAGCCTAGGACGCTCATAAATTGAGCGCGAGCATGGGTTCTTCTTCGTCTAAGTGCGCTGATCATGACCATGGTACTGTGGCTCCCTAATTTTGCCTCATCTTAAAACCCCTAATTCAAAACTCTGCAAAACCTAAAACTTGGCAATGGTGAAATCGTCTATAATGCATAATAATCAAATCAAACGCATGGGTTAGCTTCAGAATAGCATAAAGAATGTAAATCATATATTAAAACTTGTAAAAAACGCATGAATTAGTATGCACGATCATGAATTTTATTTGCAACAGTTTGACTTCATTATACCAATTCTGGGCGTTTTGATGAGAGTTTGTGATTGTAAAACGTTCAGTGATGCTTGAGGAAGCTAATGAGATGAGAATCGTGGCTTGAAACCACCTCTAACTTGGTTTTCAGATTTGAGATTTTTTGCAAAAAATGTGAGTTTGTGTTGAGCAATAGGGCGCAGCTTCTGTGTCTTTTTTGTTGTGTATCATCTGTATATACCCTAGGCAATGTGTTTGGATGAGAGTTATGGCCAATAATGCCTTGCATTGATGCCTTGGATTTTGACATAAACCTCCATTAACACACCTTCCATTTTTGCCTTATTTTTGAATTCTTGCCTTATTTGCCTCTTTGCACGAATTTGGTATAGGCTTAATGATGTTTCAAGGCTAGTTAAGGCCAAATATTTCATTTAATCAAACCTTTTGATTTTTCCTTGATTTTAAAAGATTTAAACTTAATTAAATCCAAGAAAATCAATTAAAAATGAAAAAATTAATTAAAAAATATGAAATAAAAGGTGGGACACGTGGGAAGCATGGCCAAGTTAGTTCAAGTGGAAAAAGTGGGCCCCTTTTGTCAAAAATGAGATTTCAAGGATAAATGATTTTGGCCATTTCACAAAAATTTCCCAACTTCTCCAATGCATAACTTGCTCAATTTTTAAGCTTTGCTCATGTTCTTGGACATTTTGGAAAGGTTTTTGAGTCCTCTAACCAATGTCCTTGGTCCCATGTAATTTTGATTTACCAATCTCAAGTTATGGCCTTTGACTTAAAGTCCCTTTTTGTTGACTTTTGAAAATGACCTATAATGTTGAAATTGATAACTTTTTGTGAGAGCATTTCTTGGACTTGAAGTATGAAGATGAGTTGTAGGAAATGTCTTTCTCTTCAAAATGAGCTTTGGATGGAATTTTTCTGATAATCCATGTGAAAGTTATGCCCTGGTCAATTTCAGTTGACTTTTTCAGCTGTCCAAATAAGGAAACTTTTGCATCTTGATGATTTTTGAGCCAAGTTTTGAGAATCATGATCAAGCATTGATCAAATGATGTTTGTGGCTTCAAAATGATATGTTGACCAAAAATTTGAACTTTTGACTGTCAAATGACCATTTTGCCCCTACAGTTGACTGTAGTGCAATTAGGGTTTTTGACTGTGCAATTTTGTGCTGAAAGTCTTGAAACTTGATATGAGGATGCTTGACCATAATTGCAGGCATGTGGGACTTGATTGGGCCCTTGGAAACTTCATTTTCTTGATCAGAACAAAAACCCTAATTTTGACTGCTTAGGAGGCCCTTGACTGTGCAACCCTTGGGGAGGTTTTGAAGCTTGACTTGGCAAATCTTGAAGAATATGGGAGGGCAAATTTTGGGGTACAACACTGATGTATCCGTTTTTTTCCCCAGTATTTTTGTATCCATTTTTTTTAATCTGTTTTTTTTACTGTTATTTTAATGTAATACAGTTGGATGTAATTATTTTTTTTTTAATAAAAAGTCCATTTTGTTGATCTCTGTCCAACACGCAACGCACCGGAAAAAAAAATAATCCTTTTTTGCCCTAAAAATACACCTAGGCGCCATCTCACTTGACTTAGGGCATGCCCTAAGCACATAGGCGCCAAGTGAGATGGCGCCTCCCCTTAAAATATAGGTGCATGCGCCATTTCAGATGGCTCCTCCTTTGGGGAGTCATCTGAAACATGGTTATTTGCGTATTTTTTTCCGAAACGCGGTTATTTGCGAAATATTATTTTAATACTTGGTTATTAATAAAAAAAATTCCCAAACTTCAATCCATCCACTCTTGTTCTGAAAACATGCCATCTCTGTTATAGTTCCATTTCCAACATCGTCGATTGTTCCATCTCAAGCATTATCGTTACTCACTAATTTCCTTCCTGTAGGGACTTTGTTGATTCTATTGTGTGGTCATTCGAAAGTTACAATTCTTACTAGATTAAATCTTGTTACAGAAAATTACAGCAGGCCTCGACTGTGACTGTTATGGAATTCAAAAGTGAAGATCTTTGCCTGGAGACATTGAATGTGATGTTACGGCGTATTAGATAACAAAGGAAAAATTTAAGTTTCGAATTAACCTCGACAATTAACATTTTAAAGACTATTCTTATATGTAACTTAAGTTAATAATTAAAAAACACTAATTTGTTTTTTTTGTCTTTTTTTGGTATTTGATTAATCGTAGAGTTATTAAGGTAAAAAGTAAAATAACTCTTTTACTAGGATCAATGAAGTTGGTTTCGTTATTATTGATGCAGCTTCTCAATTATGAGTACTATCACTATGCAACATTTGATAGTGATTAATGAAGCCTTACTGGTATGACCGACACCGTTGTGATAACTCATTTATTTCATTTTGCTACATTGATGTCGGTTCCATTTATTGTTATAACTAAATTCACCTGAAAAGTTAGACGATGCCAGTAAAAGTGGTAGCTGAAGTCTCAACTACTGAATTTATGATCTCTGTCTTGAATAACATGTGTAAAATGCAGTTACTTGTTCGATGTCTGTATATATAGCATGCATGGTTTGAGCATTGTCTCACATTGTCATAGCTTGTTGAATCATGGCTCTTCGTGGGAAGCTAGAGGTTGACATTGAACTCAAGTCAAATGCAGACAAGTACTGGCAAACCATAAGGGATTCTACAACTATATTCCCTAAGGCCTTCCCACATGACTACAAAAGCATCGATGTCCTGGAAGGAGATGGTAAAGCTCCTGGTTCTGTCCGCCATTTCCATTACGCCGAAGGTAAAACTTACGACAATGATTATATTTATTTCCATTACGCCCAAGGTATGATTATATTTATTCATGCTTCGGATTTTATATCTTGTCATTTTTGGTGGTTTATGTTGTAGGCTCACTACTCGCCAAGTCTTCGAAAGAGAGGATTGAGGCTGCTGATGATGAAAAGAAGACAGCAACCTATTCTATTGTTGAAGGGGATCTTCTACAGTACTACACCAAATTCTTGGGACACATAGCTGTTATACCAATTGGAGAAGGATGTGAGCTCAAATGGACAGCTGAATATGTCAAAACCAAGACTGATATTCCAGATCCAACTATTGTCAAAGATTTTGCAATCAAGAATTTCCTTGAGGTGGATGACTATATTCAACAACTTGCATAGAACTTCAATGTGTTTCATGAACCACGAGCTAGTTTATTTTAGTAAAATAATGTGGTTGAATGATTGAACCATTTTCTAATTAATATGTTGTATGTGTGTAGTAATGTGTCTCTCCTTCATTGTTGTTGGCTTAATAAATTGTTGCATTATGCCTTTTTTTTTAATAAGCCGAGAGATATATTGAAACAAGAACTAAGTGTACTCAAACTGATTACAGAAGGAACTCGTCAAAATCAAAAGAAGCGAAATTACACACCAATTGAGCCTACGAAAGAAAGAAAACAAGATACTTGCAAAAATCGTAGAAATTATAACTGAAGTGAGTAATTTCATCAATAAAAGACCACCGCCAAATTAAAGCCTTAATCTTCCAAATCATATCATTAACGTTCCTCTCGTCTTTCCTAAGATAACCCCATTCCGAAGCAACCAAATATTCCAGCATATAGCCAACCACATTAATCCTTCCTTACCTTTCTTCATCTTGTTTTCTTTTTAGAAAAAGAACCAAGCCATAAAACTACCTTTCATGCCTTCTCCTCGACCATTTGCAAAACTAATCTACTCCGCCATATCCCTCCAAATTATCCTAGCCACACAACAATTGATGAAAAAATGATCCACGGTTTCACAAAACAACCCGCACAAGGCACACAAACGCGAAGTAGTTGAAGAATTGATTTCTCTAATCTCAAGTAAATCCCTCGTTGGAAGCCTATTAATTAGACATCTCACCCCTAAGGTCTTAATTTTGTAAGGAACCTCAGAGCCCCAATTCAAAACCAACGCGTTATCAAATTCACCGAGAGGATCGAAAAACACTTGTTATTCAAAAACCAAACAACCCGATCTGGTTGCTGTCTAGACAGGACAACACCTGTCAAAAACATGCGCAACAATCAGACTTCTTCCGCCACTGTCGGTTGATCTGAAACCGGGGAAAGGATGCCGAAATCAGACCACTCCCAAACACCATTCTCCCTCCAATTACCAATACCAACCACTACCACATTCTTCAAAGCAGAAAGTGCATACAACCTAGGAAATTCATCTTTCAAACACTTATCAAAATGCCACTTCACGTGCCAAAAGGCAGTAGTATATCTCTTGCCAATATCAAAACAACAACCTTTGACAAACCTATCATCTCCTCCTTTCCTATTAATTTCCAACAAATCCTCCCACCAAGATGATGAAGAAGAGCATATAGGATAACTTCCTCCTCTACTGACAACCTTCATACTAATATCGTCTTACCGATCTTTCAACACCTTGTACCATAACGAATCCGACCCCTCGATAATTCTCCATCTCCACTTGTTAAGACGCGCCTTGTTGATGAGTGCAAAGGTGATGAATTTGAGGAAGAAGATGAAAGGGAATAAATGCAATAAATGCTGACAACAAATGATTGGAATTGAAAATGATATAAATGTAATCCTAATACACCTATTTATACACAATAATAATGCCACATAGGCCCTAATTGTAAACTTATCCTTAACTATCAAAATACTAAATTACCCTCTAATACCATCCCATAATTTAGTATTTTATCAGAAGTTAACAACACCAATTTCATCTCTCAAGCGCAGAAATTGGTCTGTTTTTGTTGCCTTCGTCAGAACATCTGTCAGCTGCTTCTGAGTGCTACAGTGCAGAACTTCTAGCACTCCTTTCTGCACTTGACTTCTGAGAAAGTGATACTTCGTCTCAATGTGCTTGCTTCTGCCATGTAGAACTGGATTCTTTGCAAGATTAATTGCAGACTTGTTATCAATCATCAGCTTCAGAGGTTCCTCAACTTCTACCTTCAGATCATGCAGCAGATTCAGAAGCCAAATTGCTTGACAGGCGGCTACAGCACCAGCAATGTATTCTGCTTCACATGTTGACAGAGCCACAACAGGCTGTTTCTTGGAACACCAAGAAATTGGACCTCCCAGAAACTTAAATAAATACCCAGAAGTGCTTCTTCTGTCGACTCTGTCTCCACACCAATCAGAATCAGAATAACTCAGAAGTTCTGATTTGATCTTTCCTCCAGAAGGAAATAGCACTCCATATTTCAGAGTTCCTTTTATATACCTCAGAATTCTGACAGCAGCTTGGTAATGAGACCACTTTGGTTTGCTCATGTATCTGCTGACCATTCCAACTGCATAACAAATATCAGGTCTGGTATTGCATAAATACCTCAGAGAACCAACCATCTGTTTGAAGGTTGTAGCGTCCACATCCTCTCCATCAGAATCAGAGTTCAACTTCTGATTCGTATCAGCAGGTGTGATAGCAACCTTGCAATTTGATAGCTCAAATCTCTTCAGAAGCTCTAGTTCATACTTCTTCTGATGTAAAATGATTCCTTTCTCAGAGTATATAAGTTCCATCCCTAGAAAGAAACTCATTTTTCCAAGATCTGTCATCTCAAACGCCTTCATCAGAACTTGCTTGAACTCAGCTGTTTCTTGTTCAGAACTTCCTGTGAGTAATATGTCATCAACATACAAACAGACCAGAATCATATTACCTTCTGAAGTATGCTGAACATAAACACCATACTCCATCTCACACTTCTGAAACCCTTGTTCTTTGAAAAACGAATCAATCTTCAAATTCCAAGCTCTGGGCGCTTGCTTCAGTCCATACAGAGCTTTATTTAACTTGTATACCATCCCTCCCTGATTCTTTTTCATAAATCCAGGAGGTTGTGACACATAAACTTCTTCCTGTAATGGACCGTTCAGAAATGCAGACTTCACATCCAGATGTATCAAAGGCCAATTTCTGTTTGCAGCTAAAGCAATCACCAGTCTGATTGTTTCGTGTCTAGCTACAGGTGCAAACACCTCAAAATAATCTAGTCCAGGTTTCTGAAGAAAACCTCTGGCCACTAGTCTCGCTTTATGTTTGCCAATTGATCCATCTGGCTTTAACTTCTGCTTGAAAACCCATCTAACGCTGATGGCTTTCTTGCCTTTTGGAAGTTCTGTCAGCTTCCAAGTCTTGTTTCTTTCAATTGCCTCAAGTTCTTCTTTCATGGCATTCAGCCATACTTTCTTCTTGAGTGCTTCTTCAATACCCACCAGTTCAGAATCTACTAGCATGGCACACTGAACGATTTCACCTTCAGAATCTACTTCAGTATCATGCAACATGCTAAAATCTGCAAACTTACTTGGTATTCGTCTGATTCTCTGTGGCCTCTGGTCTTGTTCTGAAGGTTCTCCAGAATTCGGAACAATACTGGCTTCTGAACCTTGTCCAGAACTACTTCCTTCAGAATTACCACCTTCAGAGTTACTTCTGGAAATTTGTTCTCCAGACCCTATGTCTTCAGAGTTTTCCCTTCCAGAAGTAAAATCACCACCAGATTCTGGATCATCATCAGAATCTGGATCAGAATCAGATCCACTATCAGAATCTCCCTGAGATTCTGACTCATCTTCAGAGTCTTCTTCTTCTGACTGACTCGTCTTCAGAAACTAACCCTGGTGTTGGCACTACACCAGAATCTGATTGAAGCTTGTTCCAATCCCATGTTTCTGACTCTTTCACAACGACGTCTCTGCTGATTTCAACTTTGTTGGTTTCTGGACAATAAAGCTTGTAGGCACCTGTACTATGGTACCCCACCAGTAACATTGTTTTGCTTCTATCATCCAGTTTTCGTCTTCTAGCCTCTGGAATGTGTTTGTAGCACACAGAACCAAACACCTTCAGATGGCTAACACTTTGCTTGTCTCCACTCCATTTTTCTAAAGGAACAGTTTCCTTCAGTTTCTTTGTTGGACACCTGTTCAGAACATACGCTGATGTGGCAACAGCTTCTCCCCATAACATGTGAGGTAACTTCTTCTCTTTCAGCATACTTCTGGTCATATCAAGCAAAGTTCTGTTTCTTCTTTCAGCGAGACCGTTGTGCTGAGGAGTATATGGAGCGGTAACCTCATGTTCTATTCCATTCTCCTCACAGAACTTCTGGAACTCTGTAGAGTTATACTCACCTCCACCATCTGTTCTCAGAATCTTCAGCTTCTGACCACTCTGCTTCTCAGCCTTCACCTTGAATTTCTGGAACTCAGTAAACACTTCATGCTTGAACTTGATGAGTGTTACCCATGTCATCCTTGTGAACTCATCCACAAAAGACACGAAATATTTGTTTCCTCCAAGTGAAAGTACTGGAAATGGTCCACATACATCAGAGTGTACTACTCCCAGAGCATGTTTTGCTCTGGGGGCTACTTCTGACGCAAATGGCAATCTGGGTTGCTTGCCTTTCATGCATATCTCACATGACTTCTGAGGCTTCACAATCTTCGAAATGCCATGTACGAGCTTCTTAGAACTTAGATGCCCTAAGCTTCTATAGTTCAAGTGTCCCAACCTCTTGTGCCACAACTTACTGTCTGCTTCAGAGCCTTCTGCACTGAGACACTCCGCTTCAGAAGTTACATTCACTTTGAATGTTCTGTTGCTTCCCTGCTCAGACTTCATAATCAACTTCTGATTAGAATCATACAACGTCAAGAGGTTGTCCTTCATAATCACTGAAAAGCCTTTCTCAATAAGCTGACCCACACTCATCAGATTGCTTTTAATTCCAGGAACGTACCAGACATCTTTGATCAGAATGTTTCTTCCATTCTTCACTCTGACTCTGACATTTCCCATACCTTCTGCATTAAGGTACTTATCATCAGCACATCTGATCTTTGTTCTCCTTCTGGAGTCAAAGTCTGTCAGCCATTGTTTGTTCCCAGTCAAGTGGTTTGAACAGCCAGTGTCCATATACCACCAATCTCCTGAACAGTTTCCATCAGAATCAGAAGCCATCAGTAGCACAAGTTCATCATCAGAATCTTCTCTGGCTATATTTGCTTCTTCTGATTTTCTTCCTTTGTTTCTACAGTCTCTGGCAAAATGCCCAAACTGTTTACAGCAGTAACATTGAACCTTCTTCTTGTCATACCTTTCCTTTCCCTTCTGATATTTCTTTTCATCAGAAGTTGAGGTTTCTGACTTCTGGAATTTATCACCATGTCTATTCTACTTCTGGTCCTTCTTGACAAAAGAAGCTTTCAGAGCTTGCTCCACTTCCCTCTCAGAAGTTCTTTCAGTCAGACGCAACTCTTGTGCTTCTAGACTGCTTTGCAACTCTTCTATTCTCATGGTTTCCAGATTTTTGGAATGTTCAATAGAAACAACAATATAATCAAACTGAGGCGTAAGTGACCTCAGAATCTTTTCTATGATTACCTGTTCAGAAAGTGCTTCTCCACAAGCCTTCATTTCATTAGTAATCAGAATCAATCTGGAAATGTATTCAGAAACTTTCTCACTGTTTTTCATGCTGAGATTTTCATATTGTTTTCGCAGGGACTGAAGTTTTACCTTCTTTACTGATACATCTCCACCATAACATCTGGTCAGAATATCCCATGCCCCTTTCGACGTCGTCGAATCAACAATCTTCTCAAACACATTTTCATCCACACACTGATGGATGAAAAACAGTGCTTTCTGATCCCTCTTCCTTGTAGCTTTTTCTTCTGATTTCTGTTCTACAGTAGCATCAGCTGCAGCTGGAACATAACATTCAGAAACAAGGTCCAGAACATCCTGAGCACCAAACAGCACACGCATTTGAATCTTCCATCTGTTCCAGTTTTTACCATCAAAAACTGGAAGTTTAGTGTTTAAACTACTGCCTCCATTCATCTTAAACCTTTGCACAGAAAAACTCAAATCTCAGATTCTCACTCAGTGTTTCCCAAACCCACAGAATCAGTGTGATTCTGTTTCAGATTTTTGTTCAAGAATCAAAAATCAAACACACAGCTCACTATCACTCGTGTTTCCCAGAGTTTCAGAATCAAACCAAGAGCTCTAGATACCAATTTGTTAGTGCAAAGGTGATGAATTTGAGGAAGAAGATGAAAGGGAATAAATGCAATAAATGCTGACAACAAATGATTGGAATTGAAAATGATATAAATGTAATCCTAATACACCTATTTATACACAATAATAATGCCACATAGGCCCTAATTGTAAACTTATCCTTAACTATCAAAATACTAAATTACCCTCTAATAGTTGAAAGCATCAATATTCTTCACACCGAGCCCTCCTTTCTCCACGGGAAGACAAATATCATCCCACCTAACCCAATGTATATTTCTTCTTTCCTCCAAACCCCCCACAAAAATTTTCCTTGAATTTTAGTAATCTCTTT